CCCCCCCCCCCCCCATTTTTAAATACATTTTAAGGACATTTTCTCTGAACTTTTTTTTTTTTAAAGTCACCTAACATACTGTTTCTAAAAATAAACCTCATAAATAAATGAACTGTTGATAAATAATTATTTCATTATTTTCAATTTGTTTTTTTTTTTTTATTTTCCCCCAAGTAAGTTATCTTCAATAAATGCTAGATTAGAGACACAATCCTGAGCATCGTCCAATGGTGTGCGCTTTTTTTTCTTTTCAGGGAAAGGTTTCCAAGGGAACACATGTAAATTTTAACCAAAATGGAAGCATTTTATCCTTCACATTCTTTTATTCACACTCAACCTGTAAAGGATAAATATATATATATATATATATATATATATATATATATACACACACCGGTATATTATAAATATATATATACCAGTATATTATATATATGTGTGTGTATGTAGGTATACACACATATATATATATATATATAAATATATAAACACACACACACAAATACATCTTGTTTTGTGTTTTGTAGTTATCTGTTTGGCTGTCATCTCTCTGATAAAACTGCTATCAGTGAAACTGAAAGTATTTCGAAGTTACTATTACTAATTGGGTAACACTATTAAATAAATTATCTGATCAACACTAAATACATTCTGTATGCCCCATTCTTAATCACTTATTCAACTTAAAAGGTTTATAAATGAGATCACCTTGCTGATCATCATTAATCTAAGAACTTCCACAAAGACAAACGCCAGTACTTAAAAAAAACAAACCTTAAATTTTATTTCAGAAAATTATACTATAATCAATATTATTATTATACTAGTACACTCAAAACAAAAATACTTAAAAACTTTGAGATACAAAAATTATTGTCTGAATATTATTTAAAAAGCTTACAGTAAAAATTAACAAAGAAGGAGAAAGTTTATTTTCCTAGGCTAAACTAAGAATATTCATCTGTTTTCAGCCAGTGAATCAACCAACAGTTTTGCATCACTTCAAAGGGTGCAGGGAGTTTGCATTCTTACTTCATGTGCCCATTGAAGTGGAGTAAAAGGACTTAATCAGATGTGGATTACTTGTGTATTCTTGAAACCACCCCACACCCCGCCCTCTTTCCCCATTATTTTTTCCCAAAATTCTTACATCTCAATGAAAAAATGTTTCTAATTTTAACTTATTACTGGTTTTCCTTATGGATCGACTTGTTCTTTTCTAAGATTTATTTAAATTAAAAAATTGTGGTATCTGAGACACGTGCGCAAGTTGAACAATATTTATTTGAAATAAAGATAGAATTAAAGTGGTTCACCAATTCCAAATAATAAAATACCGGTATCATTTTTTAAATCAATAAAAAAATTAAGAAAAACAGGGACAGGGAAAGATTGCATGAAGAGGACAACGTAATGCAAAACGTTTTGTTGGTTGCACATCTTACAAACATTCACCTTAATTAAATTAATGAAACCTTTCCACTTAAAAGTCTTATTCATTTAAATTAGAAAAATTAATTGCAGTTGAAATTTGCGCAGGATTAACCATTTTCAGCTCATGACTTGGAATTTGAACCTTTTTTTTTTTTTTTCAAATGTGTACATTTTAAACAAATCAGTTATTTTTTTTTTTATTCTAACTCCTCTTTTTTTTTAAAACCAAGGTTTGTTTACAAAAATTCACCTTAATTAAATAAATGAAACCTTTCCACTTAAAAGTTTTATTCATTTAAATTAGAAAAATTAATTGCAGTTGAAATTTGCGCAGGATTAACCATTTTCAGCTCATGACTTGGAATTTGAACCTTTTTTTTTTTTTTGCAAATGTGTACATTTTAAACAAATCAGTTATTATTTTTGTTATTCTAACTCCTCTTTTTATTTAAAACCAAGGTTTGTGACAAGTTATTAAAGTAGAAAAATAAACTTTATTACAGCTCTTGCTACTCCATTGCAATTATTCTAAAGACAGGTTTTCAACTCTGTGTGGATACTGACAACCAACACTGTGACAATAAAATCATTACAGCTTGTGGCACAAAATCAAATAATTTAACATTAATTAAAACATACAATGATCAAAAAAAAAAAGAGAAAAGATTTTTAAAGATCAAAGTCGTGCTTGGTTTATACATACAATGACACACCATGATAAACTTTTTATAACTGTATGACATTAACAAATGTGGGATAAAATGGTGAAAAATCTATAAAACTCTATAAGGGAAAATACAAAATCATCAATCCCTATTAGTAGACTAGCCAAAGTTACATTAAAATAAAATCAACCAGAGACTACTGACTTGTTAGACATCTATTAGAAAATGTTTAATTGTTGCAGCTCATAGTTCATACTAAAGATTATTTACACAACCTAATGACCAGCAAACTCATAATTCAATCTTTTCAATCATACAAAATATGGTACTGGTACTAAGATCATGAAACATTTGTAAAGTCTGACTCTTAAATAATATATAATTAACCATTTGGAACCTCTAAACTCCAAACCATCCTTCAAAAAATAAAGCAGTTTTGTGATGCAATACTATCAGACAGGCAAAAGCCATGAACAAAGAACATGTTAGCTTTGCTGAAAAAAAAAGCCACCAACAGCCCTGTAATTATTGTAATTGATATTGTATAGTATAGTACAGGGTAGAAAATTATGCTTACTGTTTGACAAGGGCATCACTGCAAAACAAAACAAAAGCAGCTATCCCCCCTTGACTTCTGCACAGGCCTTCAGGGACATAGCATTATCAAACAAGACAATCTTTAAACTTTAAGATGTTTCAGATGATTTAAGTTACAGAAAAATTGGGATCTTTGCAAAATACACAATATTGGGTCATATTTGTCTGCCTTTTTTTTTTTACACATTGCACCTGGTGTAAAAGGATGATGTACCGGGGTAATTGAATATGAATTTACACAATTCATTTCATTATCTACACATGATAGACCATTTAATTGTAGGGTAATCGAAAAATATTCAGTAGTTATACCAGTACTGAACAAAAGCAAAACATAACTTACTTTTTACAGATCTTTAGCATTTTTTGATTGTCACAAAGTTTTTTGTTGATTACTTCATATAAATGAGCAGGAGATTTGTTAAATATTCCAACTCTGTGTACTCGGGCTTCAAAATTCCAGACTAGAAACATATTCTTATGAATGTGATTAGATGAATTTTGAAGTCCTGTCCAGTCAAAGGTGTACCCGGCATGCAATTTCAAATCAAGTTAAGTGGATCCTGCCTGATGTAGGCATCAAATTTTTTACAGTTGAAAAAAAAGGTACATTTTTTAAAAATAAGTTCCAATTTCACAACAAAATACAATTTCACTACTCAATGTATAAAAATCTACACATCAATTTATATTTGTATGATGCTAGGAATTAAAAAATTCAGTTAACGAGAATACAAAAAATTTCAAACCAAACATCTGCTGTTACAAAAAAAGATTTAACTATAGCTTATCTTGTTCACACAATTTCAATCACCTATTTTATTCTAAGAAATTGTTAAAAGGAAGAGAAAACAAATTGAGCGCAACAACAGACATTCCTGCAAATGTTAATTAAAAGAATGTTGATAACTTTGTGATATAATAAATTTTATATGACAACATACATTCATGCCTTTTGCATTGAATAGTTCCACATGATTTATTTATCAAACATAAATAATTTTTTATTTTGCGCAATTCTGAAATTTAAAAAATTACAATTAATTTTACAAAAGGGAATACAAATAACATAAACCTTGAATTAATTGTAAATTTTTGACATTGAACTCAGGATATGGCTTAGGAACCAGAAAGAAAACCAACCAAAACAATTTAGCTGCCTCTCCGATTGAAAAATGTCAACAGCTGATAGAATATTTGAATGCTATGATATAAAATGAACAATTTGCAATTTAGATACTTGAAATACTTGGTGACTAATTGGTGACCAGGATATTAAAAAATTTAAGTCGTCTCCGACTTGACTCTGCATGTATTAACTTGTAGCAAAAGATGCAAAGACTTGACTCTGCATGTATTAACTTGTAGCAAAAGATGCAAACGATTGTTTTATGGCAACCAGGTATAACGGACAATTTATTTAGAACAGGAGAAAAGATAAACTATTTGACAATTTATTTCTAAGAAACACTTCTACTGGCATTTTTTGTACTGCAATAATAGAAAAATTATATTTAACTTTTGTTGGAATATTGAAATTTCACCTAATTCTTCTAATTCAACTAGTTAGCCTTAATTTTATAAAAGTGCTGGAGGCGGGGGAACCAAGCAGTAAGAGCTGAAACATATTAATAACAAAGCAATGTGTTTGGCTTCCCAAATATAAAATGATGGTAATTCTGAATTCATCATTTATATATCATATAAGCTTATAGAAATTTAGCAAACACATCAAATTTCTGTGCTCTTAATATTACATTAAAAAATTTTCCTCTAGTAATACTAGTATAAATGACCAAGTAAGTTGTCAGATTACAGACCCTAAAAGAAACAAAAACTTAATGTATTTTATGGTGGTTGGAGTTGGTGAGCGCAAACTTTCTGTTGTACTCATCAACATAAAAATCAGATACTCGTTGGCAGTTAGCAATGTGCTTGACTGAATCAATAATCAGAAGGATTGGGACAACAATCCAGATTGCATTGAGGAAACAAAAATAAAAGCAAAAATAAAGAGGACTATCAGTGGGACCATGTACAAATCCTTCTTTGTAGGCAGTCCCAAAGTATAGAACGTCCCCATAAAGTTGACACAGGGACAAGATTAACTGCAGGGCATAGCGGTAGTTGTTTCCGGTCATGAAGGCAGCAAATGTCACGAACGCCAGTGGTCCATCGATTACAGCGGTGATAGTTTCCATACACACTACAAATGCGTCAGATCTGTTAATGATAATCAAAATGCATCTTACATAAGTTTTAGGTCTTAACACTTTGATTTACAATTGCAATAAGACTTTTGTTTTAGTATCTTTGAACAATATCTCCTCAATACCAAGCATAGAAAAGGTAAAGAAAAGATCATATAGAGTGAAAGCTTTTAGGGGCCATCCATAATTGATGTCACGCTATTTTGGTCATTTTTTTTTACACAAAATCCACATCTTTTTTTAAAGTGATACATTGTCACAAATTGTGCCCTGCCTCCCCCCCTCCCTCCCATGACAACTGACTTCATTTATGGTAGACCCTTTAGTCAAACTTAACTAGATGTTTTGAAAACTACTTTTGCTAACTTTATTCACAGTTGTGTGACTTTTAACTACTTTTCATACATTTTTTTGACCCACCAATTACTTGTAATTGCTAAACAACTGACTTATAGTAGCAAGAAGGAAATATCACTGAGCAAAGTTCTTTATGTTTTAACCTTTGAAAATTTTAACTGGCTACACTGTGCTATAAAACTATTATCAATGCTATATTTTTTAATTTTCTATATATACAATCTCTGAAGGCCTACAAAAATAAAAATAATATGTTACAGTAAATATACAAACCCAATATATCTGCTGTCACAAAGACTATATTCTTTCCCTGAAATGCAACAAAACAAAAATAATAGTAATAGAGGTAATATTAAAATGATTTATTCATTCATAACAGGCTTTTGACTGATGAAAAGAGATACATTTAACCCATTATATACTGGAGGTATGATTTGAAAAGATTTTTTTCATGATATTCATACAGGCAGCAGGCTACATAGAAATTTTTTTTAAAGATTTTAAAAATCTTACATTGCATACTAAATACACACCAAGTCAGATTGTTAGACTGCCATCTGCTCTATGCAAAATTATTCTTTGATATGTATTGCATAGTAAACAACGGGTATTGCCAATTGCAAACGAAAGATAACCACATATTTCTTTTCAAACCACAGACAAATATTTTTTGAAATGTTCAGTATGGTTAGTTAGATAAGCAAAGCTAGTAAATGTCTCAGTTACATGCCTCCATTATATTTATAATTTTAAATTGTTTTTAAGGGGGTTTTTTTGTTTAACTTAAGAAAAAATTATTTTTTTAAGCCTCAATTTTTTTTTAAAAATGTATATTACCAGTTTTGCTTATATTGAATGTACACTATTTTATGTGGTCAGCTTATAAGTGGGTAATATACTTTTATGAGTTTTCCCAACCAAGACGGGGGCTAGGGAGTCAGCACTGCCAACTTATGAATGGTGATAGTGATAGAGGTGCAGCGACACTTTGGCAAAATTTCAAAACATTTTTTAAATATAAAAATACCACAGCTGTATAGAGCCCAGAGAATGGATTACAAAAAATCTAAGATCAACTTTCTAACTCAAGTGGTTCAAAAGTTACATCAGTGAGAATTCAGCTAATACTATTCCTGTTCCTGCGCAAAGAGAAATCGGAGATTTAGCAGAAAAGATGCGGGAAGAATAGTTTCAGAACCCTGAAGCACTCATTCCCCTAGTGCCCACCCTATCAAATCCAAGGAAAAAGCCCATCGACAATGCAGACTGAAGTGTGTCAGTGAAAATAAGCACCTGGTTGACTATAACTGCATGATTAACAGTATTAACAGTGTGCACAATGTTCAGTGCACAAAACAACCAAGACCAAACTTGGCTGCTATGTGTGCATCGGATGCACAGGAAGACCTCATTTGTGTGTAAAGGAGTGCTCCAGAAAGGAACACACATAAAGAAATTTTTACCAAAGTAAAATATTTTGTAAATAATGTGTTAGACATTTGTGTATATATACATATGCAAAGAAACTGCTTTCTTTAGGTGACATTAACGCTACTATAATGTGTGTAACTCTGTCACTAATTGAAATATTTTCAAACGTAAAATGCATTCTGATCAAAAATGGATTTCTGATGATTTAAGCAGAATAGGATTCCAATTATTGTCTTATTGTTTTATCTTTTAAATATTATTATTCTCAGATCAATGTCTTTTAATTTGATATGAAATAGGCCCAAAGCTATTTTGCTAAAAAGAAGGTATTCAAAATTCATTAATCGAAGTAGCTATAGGCTAGTATAGGGACCCTGGTCTCAGAAGTGAGAGGTTGGAATTAACATATATGCTAGTATAGGGACCCTGGTCTCAGAAGTGAGAGGTTGGAATTAACAAAATGAAGTCTAATGGACCCGGGTCCGAATAGCAGCTATGCCATGCGTGTCCAGGTCCCTTTAGACTAAAATGCTTTTTGGATGTCATATTTTATTTGTGGTAGTTTATTTTAGTTAAACTGAAGAAGTAAGTTTACAAAAATATAGTCCATTCAATTATCTTTCATTTGATACCTAATTTTGTCTTAAAAACCCTACAATAATATTTTTAATGAACCCAAACTCTCACTTCTGATACCCGGGTCTGAATAGTCGCAGCCTTCATTAATTAATAAGACTAAGAGCACCCTAAAATGTTCAATTGGCTGAAAAACGGTCAGTCAAACATGGAAAACCCCCTGGCATGGAAAGAGTTTAAAGTTAACTTTAGCTCTCTAGAAGCTATTGGCTTTGGTAGTTTACTACAAATAGCTCCCTAATGGGTATTGATAGTTTTACTGCTAATACTTAGCCACAGCCTTAGACTTAAGTTTAAGAGTAATGAATGGTACAGTCTGAATGCCTATATTATGACCTAAGTAAGTATGCTTCATGATATCTGATACTTCTATCAGTCTGAGTGCTATGGGCTGCATTTTTCTGATTAGTGCTAGCTGCTAGGCCTACAATACAAATTAAATAATCAGTAACTGTTACTGAATTACTGGAATTAGACTTTAATTAAAGTAAAAATGTCAGTACAGTAAAGTTACTCATACTGTGATCTTTTATTTTTTAACTTACACATTTCCCCAAGAACAGAAGAGTGACCGGCAAGAACAGCATGATATGCTGCGAAATACCCTTCTAATACCAGGTGAATGAATCCACAGAGCATAAACCAAACGAGAACAAGTCTCCTTTTCCAACAGAAAGGTTCTTGACGTCGACCGGATAAAATCCACGCAATTATAACAATTATCCCACTAGATATGCTAAGTATGGTTAAAATTTCTGCTGTGCTCCTAGTATTTTGTATAAAATGTGGCAATTTTAGACTTCTCGGTAAATATGGGTGATTTACAGCTGCCATTGTTTAATGTCGAAAACGTAGTAAAGCTTTACACGAAGCGTATTACAACACAAAGCTGATCATTCGATGGCGTTAAGGTTAATTCCTCGCAGGTATTTTTCCCAATTTAAGTTTTCGGTCATAACATTTCAATTTTTATAAAGCTTATTTTAAAAATATTTTTGCATCAATAAAAAAATGTATGTGAAATAAAGTAGTCGTTCGCTTATTTAATCTTTAAAAAACAATGCATAATTTATTTTCATCACCAATATATTTCAAATTTAAAAAAGGTATTGCCTAACTGGCAAAAATGTTTAAAGCCGGCCGAACTCTTTACTTTTGTTGGGTGAGAATATTTCAATGTTTATAGTGATGCATTATAAAAGACCTGCACAACATACGGCCCGCGGGCCACAAGAAGGCCCGACATAACCCACTTTGCGGCCCGAGAAGTAACGAAATATTCTTTATTATTATTATTATTTCTTAATAGCCTGTTCTATTTTCTTTCGGCACAAGTTTTTCATAAGGTATTATGGTCCGTCTTAAATTTTGCGTTTTGCAGGCCTTTATTCAAATTATGATACTAAAAATGGCACCTTAAATAATGCACACAAAAAAAAAACACATTCCGTCCGTGTTCATTCGATTTTTTTTTTTTAATAGTAATGAATTGTAGAGTTTTTAGCCGAAAAAAACTTTTAACTGTCTAGTCTTTCCATTTCATGTCTATTTTACGTATTTTCTAAAAAATAATTCGTAGTCAATCTTAATCTTAAGATAATGTGGAAACTGAAGTATAAGTATGACGGCGCCTGTGCTATTCATTGCAAGAATCCAAAAGTTGCACATCACATACTACCCAGATCTGGATTGAAGTAGTAGCAAACGTAATATTTGCTAAGTTGTGCTATGGGCACCGTGCCTATAAATATCTACGTACATTTTTGTCGTATCTGTTAATGCAAGCGTTAAACCACTGATATGTGATTTATGCCATCTCTAACACCTTTTCATTTGGTGTCACGAAATTGCGAGAAAAAGAGAAAAGAGGCTGATTTAGTGTGTCTCCGACAACACCCTCCCCCACCCCCACCTTTTTTTTAAAAAAAAAGTACGTCACATTTTGCAGCATTTCAATTTTTTAATCTAATTATAATTAAATCGTAAACACACTTCACAATTTAACTATTAAATTTATAAAAGGGACATCATCTTTCAGAAAGCATCCATCATAATAAATAAAAATCACGTTCCGTTACCACACTCATGTAAGTCAATATAACCACATAATACAACAATCATGTAACTCGCTATAACCACAGACCACAATCATGTATCTCACTATAACCACAGACCACAATCATGTATATCACTATAACCACATAATAACACAATAATGTCACTCATGCATCTCACTATAACCACATAAAAAATTTAATGAGTGACGTCACACAAGAATTTTACCACCCCTACCTCAGTGTCACAAACTGTTACAATTTCTTAGACTCCCTCCACCCCTTCCGGAGCGTGACGTATTTTATATAAATTCTTTTAATTAATGAGTGGTAGACTTAAAAAAGTGAATTTGAAATAAATACATAAAATTAATAACAACATGAATATACTTTTTATATATAAGACCCTTTCTTAACATGTCCTACAGTTCCTTCAATGGTTTAATCCGGCCCTGATTAGGCTATTTGTAATTTGTTTAGGGAAAAATGCAACCGTTTTTTTCCCCCCACCATCATCATTCAGATTCAGTGGTCATTTGGGCATGTGCTCTTCAGCCATGGTGAAGAATTTACACACTTATTATCTTATTATTTTCTTGCTTGGATAAAGGCTATTGGTGTAGCCTGATGTTTTTTGCTTGGTAGTTAAGGCGTAGGTCCTGAAGTGACGTGCCGGGTAGTGGAAGGGGTGTTAACTGGATGTCTACAAGGGGAGTACGTTGGTGCTTTATCTGGTTTTATGCTGTTAAGCTCGGAATCAAGTTGTATGTGTCCAGCTTATTGGGTCTTTGGGGTTCAGGGCTGGGCATATATGTGAAAACGCATCTTCCTGTTGAGCCCATATCCATCACTTTTTTGTGTGTGTTAACTCTGTTAATCTAATTGGAAATGATGAGTTATGTAGGTATGTTTGGCTTTTAGATAGATGCTCCCATTTTTTGCTAGTTTGTCTGCTCTTTGATTTCCTGAGATTTCGTGGTCTCCTGGTATTATTTCTTTCTTTATTGTTCGTCGCTTGCATGTGAAGATGACCTAGACTTGCGTAGTAGTATCGACTTGCAGCTGCGATTTGTTTAAAGTGATAGAGAATTGCGCAATTTTTCAAACTCATCCTTGCCCATTTGATCCAAAAAGGCTAGGCTTTGTCAAAATGGTTGGAAATAGACCAGAAAGCAGTACATGACCAGAAGTGGGCTTTTGTTTCGCGTATGTGTGTGTTTCACTGTGCATGCTCTTTAAGCGTTCGACGGTGCAGGAGTTGTGTCAGTGTCCTACCGTCTACTGGACTCCGTCTCCGGGTTTGATTTTATAGTTTTTCTCATCTTGGATGAGATGCCATCCAAGGTTAACGCGGCACAGCAACCTGGGCTGATGGAATTATGTTTGCGAGACTTTTTTTTACTCAATTTGGAGCGCTCGACACCTTGGTATTTATTCACTGTGAGGTTAGTTTGACTGCAAATGTTTCAATGAAAGTGTTTATTTTAAGAAGTTTTAACATTTTAATGTTGTTGATGCTAAGCTGCCGATAAGTATTGAGCTGAAGTTGGAGAAGGAAACAACATTTCTTTGTTTGCTGTGATAAACTATGAAGAATGCAGGTAGGCGGTGTTAAGATGCTTCAGTAGCACTTGCGTCTGCTTTATAAATGCTGCAGATCGTCCCAGAAGGGCTGCAGAATTCATCATATGATTGGTCTGGTAATTCTATACCCAGGCTAAGTCGTAATAATCACATTTAAATTAAATGTACAAAAATGAGTCAATCAATTTCTAATCATCGGCTTTTGAAGGAGTTGTTATATATTTAAAAAAAAAAAATTAAATTGTAAATTGATGGCGTCATTATGATGGCCATACTCTCAAAGCGAGGATATTTATAGTTAAATAATGAATTTATAAAACTTAAAAATCTGAGTTTTTAATGTCATTGCAATAATTACAAATTGTGGCATCCACAGAATTCACATTAGAGCATTTCAATGAAATAAACTGCAGTATATTGTTCATTTTGCCGGAAAGACAAATAGTTTTCATTTCAGATAAATGTCCTATTTTAATGTTTATGCATACGCTCTCGGGACAACTTACGTTTTGCTGAGACGTCTTTTGATACTCGGTCCAATGATGTGTAGGTTCAGCGTTCAGATAAATATTATGTGAAACACTTTTTTTTTAATGTTTGCAATGGCAACGCTGAATTCTGTTTAATAAGGTTTGTCATTTAAAGGCGGAAATCTCTTAATAGAACATCTGGGCACACAGTTTGGCCCATCTCATTAAACGGCGGGAATATATTAATAATATGTCCTGGTATTCCGTTTGACCAATCTCTCCAAAGCCACTCGGTACATCTACGTTAATGTAAGTCAGCGTAGTGGGTCATGACCTTGACCAGTGGTCGGCTAATCGCCTGACCTGAGTGCGGCTCGGCCAGTCGGCCACAAATCGGGTTTTGACTCCGAAAAAAAAAACCATGGTTCTTAACAAGTTCTTGAAAAGAAATTTGGCTCTCAAAATTTTTTTAATCGTCCTGCTGCTGATTTTTGGTTCTTTTGACTAATGAGTTTTCCGACCACAGTTGATGCCGCCCGCGGCGAAAGGAGAATTTTGTCCCCCGTTCCACACAAAAAAAACCCAACAAACTATGCAGTTGGTCAAAAATGCCACCCAAAAAAGTGGTTCGAGACGGATTGCCCCATCAACACCCCTTTCCTACGTCACTGCTTGTATGAAAAAAATATGGTGAATATGTGTAAGTTGTCTCTTTATTCTTAGTTTTTCCATGGTAAACTATGGGGCACAGACAATGTTGATTGTAAATTCAGACAAGACATAATTTAATTGTTTCATGTGCACACAGAAGATGTTCTGTTGTGGAATTATTTTTTATTAAAACCCTTTAAAAAAATTAACTTCACTTTTGTTCGTGGCTGGCTGACAAAAGCTTCGGACGACTGATTGCCTCACTTCCCGTCAACCGATCGAGGTGAAACTTTGCACATACACTCGTTCAATTCTTTCAAATTTTCAGTCGAAAAAACAACAACGCCCAAAAATCTGTTTTCCTTTTTTTCAAGGGAAAGAGGAAGGAAATGTGATGACACTGATTGCAGGGATTAAAATTCCCGATAACTTCTCTAATTATTTTCGTTTTTTTTTTTTTTGATTTTTGTCTGAAATAGTTGGTGAGATAAATCTGCGTTGCAAAAGCGGGTGGGTCATTAGATTATTAATATAGTTCAGGGGCGTGGAAAAAATGTGCGTTGGGGGGGTGGGGGTGAGCACTAATCGGGATTCTTTTAAAGTGCGTTACTTGAATGTATGTTTTGTGAAATTCTCAGCTCCCACCCCCACCCCAATTGCTTGATATTATATTTTATAAAAGATCTAGACAAAAACGTGTTGTTTTAGGGGTTGTTTCGTTTAATTTTCAAAGTTAATTTGAGATTGTAAAAAATTCTATTTTAGAAACGTTATGTCTCGAAAATTGCTTTATTCATAATAAAAAAATAAATGTAATTATTTTTTTCCCCCCTCTGGTGCACTATTTTGCTCCAAGTGCGCGGGCACATTTCCTGATCAGAGACCATTGGACCACATTTCCCAATTTGTAAAGTTAACGCACTGACTTCGTTACTTTTAGTGCCGCCCATGTGTTTTTGGCGGATCTGAGATCTCCACTCTTTTCCATGAAGGAACTGCCGTTAGGCGAAAATTGGAAAATGCCTCACCCCCCCCCCCCCCCCCCCCCCCCACAGAAAAAAAAAAAAAATCGATGTAAAGAAAATAAAAATTGTCAACCGGGGCGGGCTCCATCCCCCCCCCCCCCCCTTTTTCCTACGCCACTGAGTTACCGTCGCATCACCTTGACCGATCGACCCAATGTCTTCTATTGGTCCACGCAGGCGGGGCTGATATACAAGTCTTCCCGGGTATTCGAGGAGAGGACCCAACAAAGTCGGAGGTGTTCCTGGCAAACAAGGACCCTGTGAGTCTCAAGTGTATGTTTGCGGTAAGTCGTCCATGTGAGCACATGCTTTGTTGTTTTTCCTTTTCGTAACAAGAGACGTATGTTTCAAGGAGTCTCAAACAAACAGACGGCCCTGCAAAAGGGTTTGTGTTACATTTCATAATAAGAGAAAAGAGGCCTTTGAATTATGATCATGCGGTTCATCCGGTGGTTATAGTTTGGGGAGCCTTGGCTGTCAGTGGTCGTCCCTGCTAAATGACAGTTGGTAGTTTTAGCGTTATTGATGTAACCGGATCTCGCATTTATTTTGTGTGTTGTTTTTTTTTTTTTGTATTGGCATAACCGGGTGTCACATTTATTTATAACGACATAACTTTGTTGTCACATTTGTTTGTATTGGCCTAACTTTGTTGTCACAGTTCTTTGTTCAAACTTTCTCTTTTATGCCACTCCTTATTGGCGCGCAATTGTAACGTGAAAATGCGCAGCTTTAATCTCACGTTATTCACTTGTAGGTTCCGATTGTGGGGAAGTGGTCTCGATAGAGGGGAAGTGGTCTCCATAGAGGGGAAGTGGTCTCGATAGAGGGGAAGTGGTCTCCATAGAGGGGAAGTGGTCTCCATAGAGGGGAAGTGGTCTCGATAGAGGGGAAGTGGTCTCGATAGAGGGGAAGTGGTCTCGATAGAGGGGAAGTGGTCTCCATAGAGGGGAAGTGGGCTCGATAGAGGGGGAGTGGTCTCGATCGAGGGGCAGTGGGCTCGATAG